AAATTATTTTCTTTCTACTGATTTCACGTCAAAACCTCTTGTTTATGACGATCAATCGATCGCAGCAAGTTAAAATATTTCTTTGCGACTGATTTTAAAAAAACTTCAAAACTTCCTGTTTCTGTTCTGGCTATCGGCCGCATCACATACGCCTTGGACTCATTCGGATATAACTACACATGAGCTTCTTTTGATTGTTTTACCTGGCCATAAACACATTATCCTGAGTCTTTATTCGTGACTAAACATGAGCCGATAGATCCGCTATTAAGCTTAAGGTTCCAACTCTTAAACTGGGTTCGTATTACCTTATGTGTGGAATAGGAATACAATATTAATCTTGTGCCTATGAAAATGCATTGAGCAGAGAATTAAAGAGGGGAAGGGACCCTGTTAGTTAATCTTGTGTCTGTGAAAATGCGTCGAGCAGAGAATTAAAGAGGGGAAGGGACCCTGAAAGCCAGACAACGAGACAACATAGTAGTACCACCGTCAATGTGAGAGTACGACGAATGTAATCATCTGACTGGGATCATTCAAAACTTTTAACAACAAAGCGACGGAGTATTAAGGTCTATTAACTGGCAAATCGCAGCAGTGAATCGAAAAAAGATAAAATAAACCCACCTAAAATGGCTTTCTGTTATGATAGCGGAGGGATTTTACCAATAATTCGTAAAACAGGTAGTAGTCTTATATTACGCACTATTTTGCACTAATTTCATTGTCTTCTTTTGTTAACCTCCTGCTATTTTGGCTGTTTTTAAGGCAGAGGCTTCGAAAAGTAAAACGTGGAGCTTTAAAATGGAATGGTATGGCTAGCAAGTTTAAATCCTTACAAAGCTTTTCTGATTGTGGAGTTTTTATATGGCAATAGTAAACAAAAAAGTGCTACAAAATCCTACGAACTTTCCTTAATATCTAAACCTCTGCGCATGCGGTTCTTGTACTTCATACGCAAAGTAGAAATTGATATAAATACCTTACAAGTACTATTCGACAAAAAGTGAACCTTGCTTGCTGTTTATCAGACCAACCAGAGAGCAAAAAGAAAATGCTTACAAGATGCAACTTAAAGCACTTTACAACTTTTCGCTCACTATAAGCAATCTCTTTTAACTTGTGTTTGGGTTTATTAACGATATTTAATAGGACCAAAGGATCCATAGGTTTAAAGCGTAGCTCTGGGTTGGAGCATTTTGTACGTTAGCATCGTATCCAAAATCATATTCAGTTTGAGTGCTGCTTTGTTCAACAAAAGAAGCATAGTTAGCTTCTGTTATTCCAATCCCGTGATCAGCACGTGCACAGTACTCTCCTCCTCCACCAATCATCATGACGGACCCATCACCAAAACCCCAGTGACACCAGAAGCCGATCTTGTTGTTGGGTTGCAGATCACCACCGCACCCAGACAGATCAAACCCGTCTGTTAAATAGTACTGACCAGCATACTGAATAGTGCACCTTCCCAGGCATGTGTCATTGGACCACACCGTGCCGTTTCTAAAGTCGCCATAACTTGTGATTTTTGAGCGGAATGTTTGTCCACCCAGACAGTTATCTGTAGTCCGCAAAAGTGGCATGTGACTGGAATCATCACTACGCGTGATCTTAAAATCGTTGCCGCTGGCCAACCAGAAAGCTGGTGAGATCATGTCAGCATTGACTGATGGATCAGGTGTTCTTATGGGGACATTTTGGTCATACCACCAGTGTCCATCGTCTCGCATCCAGTTCTTATCGTCACTGTTGGAAAATCTGGCGATAAGAATCCATGTGCTCCCTGGATGTTCTGGGATTGTAAAGTTCTCCCAAGCCTGATTTGTGGAAAAGAAATTATAGTCATTTTCAGTTGAATGGAAAAAAAAAGGACTAAGTAAAACTTAATTCGCGTTTGATCGTATAGGACGCAAAATATTACGAGGTAGGAAAACTTCTGCGTCTTTTTTTTTTAGCTTAAACTCTGCAGGATGGTAGAATTTTGTTTTCCAAAAACTCCTATGTTTTTTGTTTTTGATTTTAACGTTTTTTGGCGGGAAAATGACGCCTCAAGATTAACAGCAAAATTAAAATTTCAAGATATAGCAAAACAAATAAATAATTTTTAAAAAGCACAACGCGATAGAATATAATGTGAAAATTTTTTTCAAAGACTCAATTGGTTAAAGAGTTATGAGGCTTTGATCTTTTAATTTCCCGCCATTTTGTTACTATTTTTAGAGACATAAGTACATTTCACGATGCCATATCTCCTAAAGCAATTGAGCTTTTCCAAAATTTTCCGGACCTAAACAGGCCTTTATATCCTAAATTTCCCGATCAACATGCACTGGTTAACATCAACGGAGGTAAGCATGTTTTAGCTTGTTTTGAACATGGAATTATTCTGAATGAACTGATGATAAAGTAATTGTCAAAGGGAAAGATAGTATTCATGTAATTCAACGACAAATACCGTGGCAACGATTACACGACTACAATTGCGGAATAGCCATAATTTCACCTTGGGTTCGATGAAACTCTAGCTAAGTGTTATCTTAAGGTGACGTTACACTGGGCGGTGTGCAACGACACTTTTTAGCGGGACACAGTGTTGCAATAACGGAACAATGTTGCAACAATTCGAAATTGTGTTGCGCTTAAAATCGTCGTCAGGTTTCAAATCGTCCTGTGTAACATCACCTTTAGTCGCTCATGAACTGCATGCAAGTGCAATGGTCTTTTAGCCCGAAAGTAAAGGTGACAGCAACATTAGGAGTGTGGGTCGAGGTGGGTAACGTCTCGTCAGCTCGGCTTTCAAAATTGACTTCAGGGAACTTTTTAAGCAACGACAACGACAAAGGTGGTGAAAACGGTTGGCCACACGTCACCACCTGGGTCTGCGTCCATTACTCTTTTCGAACAGTGGTGTGGGTTCTTTTACGTCCCACAAGAACAGATCAGTGAAAGTGCTGTGAGACGGGACCTACGGTTTTTCGTCCTTATCCGAGAAGACTAGAAAGTCTAACCATTTGCAGATGTCATTACCAAGGCAGCACTTTCTTCTTAGTTATTTAAAGGCCTTGATTGTTTGTCCGGCCGGCGTTTGAACCCGCGACCTCCCGCTCAGCAGACCCGCGTTCTCCCAACTAGCGGCGGTATGCCACCGAACCCCCTATAGCTTGCGCCTTAGGCGCTCATTTAGAAAATCGGTCAGTATTTATCCTAGATCCGCCCCTGCCTAAGGCTACGTTTACACACCAACGGACGAATCTACTTCCACTGGCTGAAAAATGTGACGGGACATTTCATTCAGACGGAACCATTCAATGTTTTGCGGTTCTAGTTCTCACGGTCCTAGAGCACCACATCGAGTTTAAACTTTCTTCATTGGTCTCGCTATCTGTCCCGTGTGCAGAGAGCTAATTTAGCAAATTAAAAATCGCGTCTGGCAGCTGAGTTACCACGCATCCATGCAACCACACCTTTACCGTTCGGGGCGATAAGAACAACTCCACTCTCATGGAAAAATAGCGAGCAATAGCGTAACAGGAGCGTCAAGATATATTTGAAAGGAAAGAAAGAATGGTAACTTCTTGGCTTACCCCACTGAATTCGTAAGGATTCGTTGTTGGAGTGGTTGCTGTTGCTGTTGAAGTTAGAGCAGTTGTTGTCGTTGCTCCCGTTGTTGATGCAGCTTGAGCGATAGTTGAAGGGTGAACAACTGTTGTTATTGGAGCAGTTGGAGCAGTTGTTGACAGATCACTCGTCGCTCTCGTTGTTGTTGATGCAGCTTGAGCGATTGTTGAAGTTGTAACAACTGTTGTTATTGGAGCAGTTCGAGCAGTTGCTGACAGGTCACTCGTCGCTTTCGTTGTTGTTGACGCAGCTTGAGCGATTGTTGAAGATGGAACAACTGTTGTTGATGTTGGAGAAGCTTGAGTAGTTGCCGTCGTTGTTGAGGTAAAGAGAGAACTCGCTGTTGTTTCTTGAGAAAAAGATAAATAAAAAATCTTTACTTACAAAAAAGATCCAATGAAAGGTCGATTAAACTTATTTCTCACCGACCTTCCATCGCCAGGGAATGGGCATGTAGTCCCTTATATTGGAACCTTCATTAATTTTCGTTGCAGTGACATACCGTATTTCCTCGAATAATAGCCGTCGCTCGATTAATCCCCCCCCCTCCCCCTTGACGGAAATGTTTAAAACAATCGCCTCCCTCGAATAATCGCCCCCACCCCAGTCCCCTAGGTTACTCGCAAGGGTTACCCATAGCGCTAAACTTTGAGGATGAAGCTTAAGTGGAGTCTGACCCAGCAAAACTGATCAGTGATCGACGATTCAAGCTCTGACGCAGAGGACAATGACATTGAAAATTAATCAAGGAACCAAATTTGGAACACTTTAAATGCTAATGTTGATTCAGTATATTTGATGTGATTATTTTTTTTTATTTCGTGGAAAAATAAAACAAAATATTTAGGGTACGATTTCTAGTGAGCAATATCTAAAATAATCGCCTTCCCTCGAATAATCGCCCCCTTTTGGTACGAAAAAAAAAATCGCCCCCGGCTATTATTCGAGGAAATACGGTGAGTGCTTCTTGCTGCGGCGGTAACTGTTACTGGTCAGATACGGTATTGTGGTGTTCGTCTTTTTCAGACGTTAATTCAGTATTTATCTTACGTCATTTAGTGATTTTCTTACGATGGACTAGTTCCTAAGTTTTCATTATCTGAGAAAACTTTAAGGGAAAGTAAAAATCATCTTAGTATGCCATCATACGTCATATTTTCTCTGATAACCGAGCCTTAACGAAATATGGAGCCTCTCTGAAAATCGAAATATGAAGCCTTGCATTGGTAGCTCTTATGAACAGGCTCCACCCTTTATTGATTTTAGCTGTTTCGAAGTAGTACTTCTGATGTGTTGTTTTGTAATAAATTGTGCGCTTATACTCTTGGAATACACCTTTTTGCCTTGTATGTTTTGATTTCCTAATTCAGACCAAGTAACTGATTTTGCCTTTCTTTTCATAAATTATGCCGGCATTACAAACATATGCATAAGGGCGATATTTGATAGAACTATTTCTATGGGGGTCAAGATAAAATAAGTTATATTGAGTTATGTTAACATACCGCTTGTTAGTTTAAGATTTATTGATGTCGATCGTTTCGTATCAAAATTCTAACATGCCTTGTCAGGCTTTCTGCTCGTATTTGAGCAGTCTATATTTCCTCTGGTTTCTTTTGTGTTCAAGTATCTTCTGGAAATTACAAGACAATGAAATGAGTCGTAAAGTTTTGCAATTTTGTCACTGTCAGGTTTGACTACACCTTGTTAACGTTGGCTCTCTTCTTTCAAGTAATGAATAAACTGAAAATGACGATTAATCATACCTTCACATTTCATATAGAATCTTTGTTCATCTGTTACAAAATCCTCAGGGTTTGCTTCCTTGGTTTTGCTGTTCAGTTCGCACACTCTTCCTGGAATGAAGTAGTTGTAGCTTGCACATCTGGGGTCGTTTTCACAGATGTTTTGACATTCAAAAGGCGCTTTTACTACAAGTTCTTTAAATGTGTGACCCCTGAGAGCTTTACCAGATACTGATCTTTCAACAGGCTTGCATTGCCCATTTGCGGCCTCAACTCCATACATTCGGGATATTAGGCAAATCGTAAACAACGCCAGGGACATCCTAAGAGCTGGGAAAACCAGATTGTGAAACCGACTTTGGTACTTTATAGAACTACTCCGATTCAAGAAGTTACCCGCGTTGCTAGACAATGAAAAAGAAAAAACCAAAAAAATAATCTCAGGTGTTGACTAGTTAACTGCACAAATTCCTATTCACATGTACAAAGATGTCAAGTGAATTCCTTTAAGTTACCGACCGTTCCACTACTTTCAAAGTCTATCATGATCAGGTACTAACAAAAGGTCGAAATTTTCCTGCAAAGATTGTAAAAATACATCACGGTAAGTCGCCATTTCGAGTCATTCCTCGCAGCTAAACCTTTTAGCCTGAGTAACAGCATTCCGTGAATATTGGCTGGAAACTGAAGTGGTTTGATAATCACTCAGTCAAACATAGTAATTAAAACTTCCCGGTCACCTGAATTTGACACCAATTTGGACGGAATGATGTGACGTGTAGGTTGCAGGGTCAACCTGCTAAGCACAATCGAAAATGGCGACTTACGCTGCGTTAGTTTTTCAATCTTGGAAAGAGATTTTCTTTAGCACTAAGCGGAATTTGAAGGTTCAGAAAGGCATTCGTAACTACGCACATTGTTTATATTTCATTTGACTGTGCTCTTTAATTTCTGGAAGGCCGTCCAAATTCAGATTAGTCTCAAGCACTGTACATGTATTTTTATAATCTTGAGTAGGCTGAAACCTGTAGTCAAGACTGCTACTTATAATGAAGGTAATTCATCCCCTTACTGGCCGCGACATTTGAAGCAAACTTTATACCATTGATAGATCAAATGCAGTTTCTATTATTTTTAATGAATTAAAAGTTTGCTTAGGTAAATATAGTTCCTTTGCGGATGGTTTCTTCATCCGACAACCCAAGACCAAGCGAGAAGCCCCCTTATATAAGCCGCTGGTTTTAAATTCATGAAATGGAAACATTCATACAAAGGTACAGTCTTCTCGGCGGTCCGGAGTTCTGATCCTTTTTTCTAAGTTTAGTGCTTTAGAGCCGGCTAACCTTTTTTAGTCTTCTAAAGTAAGCTGTCGTTGATGTTTCCTTGTTGATAATTCGACTTTTGATGATTACGTAATCTCTATATGAAGTTTTGAATCGTGAATTTGTACAATGATAAAATCTAATTTGATCGGTTTCTTTGTTATGTTTTCTTTTTTACACTGCAATCTACCCTTGCTAAACGGTATTCTTTATATATATATATATAAGAAAAAAAACAGAATGTTTTAACTTACCTCGCTAGGATTCTGTTTTCTTCTGTCGACTGTTAAGTAACATACTGTTTTTTTTTTTGTTTTTTTTCCTGATGCTTCTCAGCGGTCTGGAAAACTTAATTTCCGGTTTTAGATCAATGGCTACATTGCACGCACTACAGTGTGATCCGGATCTGTTTCTCATTAGGACCCCGCTTCCAGGTGATTGACTTATTTTAGTGTTTGAAATGAGCAAGAACTTGGATTTCTACTTCATATATGAACCCTCGCAGATCTACCGAAGTTATTTGAAGAGAACAAAGAAAAGAGTAGCGTAGAAGTGGCGGAAATGTTAAGCAGTGGCTGTCGATGAGAGCTGCAAAAAGGATGGGAAATTAAGCTCCCCTGACATAAAAATAGGCATTAAGAAGCACAAAATAGCTCTAGATAAGTGGAAATTATTACTTGAAAATTAACGTTTAGAGTGAGTATCAACCACCGAAAAGTCAGGCTTGATTCTTTGTTTCATTCTTTCTCTTGTTGAGGTTGTCGAACTGTGTCATTACCAGCTGGATTTAACTCAGATCAGCGTGTTTAGGTTTCGCTTCATCAGAAATTGACTCAAAACAACCTTTTGGAATATCAGACTCATGAATGCACAGCTCGGCAGGGTCATCAGTAGTAAAGGGGTCTCCACTGGGTCCCAACCAATCACAGCGCAGCAAAATTTTTCTCGACCAATCAGAATCAAGCATACAGCCCATGTGACCAAAGTGACGTCAAAGCTCCCAAATATGGGCATAAAAGTCACGTGACCCACCCAAGAGATGGAGCCGCATACTTGGCATAGTTTTGAAGGACCGCGTAGAACCTGGGTACGAAGGGGACGCTCAAAATAAGCCCCAATCCCGGAAGTCAAAAAAAACACACTCTATTGAGGACAACATCATGGCATGAGTTTTAATGAACATACCGCGTAAACCCTAAATTACATCCGGGACGTATGTGAGGTCCTAATGACGTCACGCCCATGGTTTTACAAATCTAAGAGCAGATCCAATTCGTCCCCAATCCTCTCGTAGCCATAGGGATAACTGGATCGAGTAGACACATCAAGGACACGCTTATCAAACACCAATCCATACTGCTTCACGCGCGGAACCACTTGAATGTGTTTCTTTTCCAAATCCCGTGTGAAATAATAGGGGTTGACAATGTTCAAATTTCGGCGAATGTCCTGAGGCGAGTCTAATTCCGAGAGAATGTTCTCTTTCATGGTATGAAAATTGA